TTACCAATAACAACTCCTCTTGAGTAAGCACAGAGTGTCCGTATTCCATGATTCTGTTTAGATGGAAATGGGCATTGTTTAGCTGGTCTTGATGGTTGAGGGACCTTCCAATTATCGGCAAAGGAGGCTGTGCTCCTTACTAGCACAAGCTGCGTTTGGTAGACATTTGAGTATGGTACAGCTCTTCTTGGTTCACAGAGCGCCTGTTGGCCTACGAGGCAGTTCGACTGAAACTCTCCATGTGGCTATTTGGAGCGGCAATGAGGCGATTGTCAACCTACTTCTTTCTCGTAGGCTAAATGTCGAGGTCGTAACGCCATTGTCATCGCTGCTCTCCTAACCGTAGGCGAATGCCCCTTCCTCCACAGCTTCATCTTCCTACGCCTCACTGCTCATTGGCTGAGAAAAGTCGACTTCATCTCGATTGTACAAAAGTCACTACTACCTTCGCCTCACTCCTTGTCTCCACACCTCTCATCATTATAGTCACTCTCTTATCCTAGGAGCGGATCTGTACGCGGTGAACGCAAGCAGTGGCGAAACAGCTACCTCTCCAGCTAGAGAATGCGGATTTAATCTAAGAACTTTCTCACCACTGTCTTCCCATTTCATACTACAATCTACTTCGTTCGCAATGACAAAGGACATACTGCCCCTCACGAAAACCAACTTAAGCAACCATAGTTGTTCCTCTTTCATCTCCATATCTTCTCACATGCGTCCACTCTGCTTACTCACCTCATTCATTTCGCCTTCCCATTTTGTGCCTTTGTCTACCTGCATGGAATTTGGCACGCACTGACCCGTCGGTCCAACTACGTGGGTTGGGAAGGAAAGAGACGGCGACTGAGGTGGTGACGGAGACCGAGGCTCTGCTTGAGACCCTGTTTAAGTTTGTGCAGGAGGAAGATGGCGGGTGGATTCGGATCAGTGTCCGGTTTTTGCGACTTAGGACCTGCACCTAAAACCCACTCATTCATGCAAACCGAATGCCTTACGACGACCTCGTCATTGCTCGGCTTCCGCCAGTACAGATGATTAAGTGGAAAGCCCAATTACTGGATGCTACTTTGGAGCTCCATGCAACTACAAGCAGACGACGGTTCACTCGACCACTGATGTGGGTTGCCATTATATTGGTATTCAGTGCATCCCGGCATCTACACATGCAGGAGTAATTTAAAAGTCCCTTAAAGATAAATTAGGTTGTTACGTTTCCAAAACCTGTGCAGGAGTACTTTGCCTCAATGTTAGCCAATTCACCTTCCCCTCCCACTCAATTGGCATCGTCCTACATCCTACGTCCAGCTTACGGCTTCAGAACAGTCTCTGCGCTGATTGCGAGTTCTTGTTCGGATTAAAGTGCACATAAATCGCCCAATTGGATTCTGTGTCTACAAAAACAACAGGAGGGATTACTTGAGTTAGTCCATGAGCGACTTCGCAACCCGATCTCACAACTTCGCTTCCGGGATAACTTAGGTGTACCTAATAGTATTGTAGTCCTTCCATCGAAACACAGGGCATCCCAAAAATCCTCTGAGCGGTGCGATTTCACGCAGTCATTGCGATGCAATTTGTCGATCCTGTTCAACATTATCAGGAGGAGAAACATTTGCACGCTAATGCGAAGTGCAGGTCAACGTTCGGGCTCTAAGTGTGTTCTTGAGGTGGTTCGGATTTTGCAGTGAGGCAGCACAGATGAACAGCCCAACCAGCTGGCACTGATATGTCGGCTGCGGTTGTTTCCTACTTACCAGTGCGGCGGCCTCCAGCCACACCTGCGGGTCGTCATAACATGATGCATGGGAAGGTGAACCACCTCACGGCGCGTGGTGCTGGAGGCCGGTCATAACCTGTTAGTAAGATGCGCTATAAGAAATTCTGTGAGGCAAGCAACAGTCGTCACTACCTTAAACTGTCAGTACATCAGTTCCGCGCTACCCTTACACTTCACTTCCGGATTGTATGTTTCCAGCAATAAAATGTCACTTTTAAAGCCGTTGTGACAATATATTTTTCAGTTTATCTCATTCTCAACTACTCGCAGTTGATGCATCAGAAGGCACACTGGCAAAAGGCATTGTGGCTGACGATTCTGCTGCTCTTGCGTCACTAATTCGGTAGGAAGCCAGTTCATTGCTCTCCCATTATTTCATTCCTCATTCACACTGTTAGCGTCATTGCATATTAATTCAAGAAAATTGGAGTTGCCATAACTGGGAGTCCACTCACTCATCGTTTGACATCAAGTAAGATGGATATTTAAAAAGGTTTGACCAGTGAGGAAGCAATCGAGGGCAGCATTTGTGCCATTGGTGCATTCTGGCTCTCCCTTTTCCATTGTGAGCAAAGGATGGGTCCAAACGCTGGGAATCCTCTAGTGCTAGTTGTCCTACAGGGTTCTGATGGACATTACATGTCAGCCTCAACTACTGGTGCCAAAGCCACGTGGAGAAAAACAGCGCTGCATCGTGCAGCTACTGCTGGTAGTATGAACTGTGTCTACCTACTTGTGCAGCGTGCGATTCCCACCGATATCCTCGATTACAATAGCAACACGCCTCTCACGAATACAGTTTTCCAGCCCATCGACGTTATCAACTATCTGACCTTCCAAAGTGTTGCCCTGGCGTCTGAGATGATGTACTTTGATGGCTCAGTCCTCGTTCTGATTACCAACACTTTGTTGGCTCGTGTAAACTTAAAACAACCGCGTCCCGTTTAACCCTATCTGACCGAGCAACATTAGCTCTTCCTCCAGCATCACCACGCCATGACGTTGCACTTAGTGACAACTTACTATGCCAAATATTAGCCCCCTCGATCCTCCGTGGGGTGACATCGCGGGAGATGAAACGCGATGGAGCATCAACGACGCGGAAGGGCGAGTGTGTGCTATACTCTCACGAGTTGGTTAATGTAGTCTGGTCGATTCACAGAGGGCCCATTACCCCACCTTTTCGATGCCGCCATTTGTGACTGCCACGGGTTAATCCTTCGCTTTCCTATTTCCAAAAGTGAGAGTATTAAAGCTGCTTATTAAAAACAGCTGCACAATGCAAACACGGAAACGACTCGAAGACGAAACAAAAATGCCATTACTGCCCTTCAGATGCGGTTCATCAGCAGTCATGAAATTGCAATGAATAATGTTGCTGATGGATCTGCTGACGTCTCTGACTAACTAGACCTTGCAGTCTCCGCTTTGCTTGCTGTTTGTTCCCACCAATCACCATTTAACACTTTAGTTCTCTGGAAGTCTGAAGCCACTTACTGTACTTCACATCATCGCGAAAACGAATGTGTGAAATTAGCTGGAGAGGCGAAGCGCGCATCAGTGTGCGGTTTTTGAGGCAGAGGAGTGCGACCTGGGCAAAAATTGTTCGCTTTCGTGGAATTTTACCAAACCAATTGAAGTATTCCTCCCTCTTCATAAAGTCGCATCAAGGGTAAAATGAGGTGCCAAAATTTTATGTTGTGCATGGATTTCGGGAGGAAGGGTAGGTTTAAATTTTTTCGCTTTGTAGCCCCTTTACGCACGCAGATCGGTTTACCACGATGGATCACTAGCAGATGTTTTGGTGGTGTTTCAAAGCGACTTACGTGAAGGATTGCAAAAG